AAAAAATATTAAAGACTTCTATAAAGATTTCTTTCAAAATCGCGGATTTTTTGTGTACAAAATAATTTATAACCCATAATTTTTTTTATTATAAAAAAATCTTTAAGGTTTCTTTTTCTTATTCATTTATTGCATCTAGAACTTTGTCAATTAAAATAAAAGAAATCTGATTATATAAAACCTTTGATCAGACAACCATTGTCCTGTTTATGCTCATTTCTTTAGGATTTTCGAGATTATGTCCAGCAGCATGAAAGTGAACATTAACTTCCTGATGTATCTTTGCCAGAGATAAAAAGTAGAAGTATATGAAGCCTTTTCATTTATAAATGTCTTTAATGGGATAATGTGACATAAGCAAGCTGGAAAAGATATGCATATCATGATAAACAACACATTTTATTGTGTAGGTATATTTTCATTATCATCATAAATCAATTTCCATGAATTTAATTTTTTGATTAAATATTTATTTTAAACAAGTAAACACACAAGCAGTTAAAATATAGAACCCATCAAGTTTCACAGAAACAGCAATGATAATATCACAGATGATAAATGGTTAAAAGTTCATCATAATGGCAAAACTTTTTTCAGTAGATTTAGAAAGTGAAAATATATTGTTAATTATATTTTTAATATTATTTCTGTTCTAATTAAAAACTTTGTTGTTAGTTTTTTTAGTAACCTCCAGGATTGAAATGATTCCACACTTGAAACAAATGAAGAAATCATTGAATAATCAAATCAAATTGTTGGAAGTAATACATCACTAATGTATTTTTATTCAAAAGAATAATTCAGTTAGGCTATCAACTACACATGATGATCCTGAAGTTGATGGACCTAGCACAGGTAGATCTACAACATATATCACCCAGACATAACAAATATGACTGACTTTGCATCTAGTATTGGTGTTAATTAATTTCCTTTTCTTCGCCACAAATTCTCATCCAATAAAATTGAAGTATTACCAAAATAACCAGACGAGTAACACTACACGTGCTCGCTGATACTTATTTTAAACCAACCAAAGAAAGATATTATTTAAAACGAGCATGATTTTTGCTTTAAAAATAAAATGTGCCAATTAATTTGTAATCCCTACCTCATATTCAAATCTTTGACATAGTAATAATAATATTTGACATAATATGTTATTCGTAATGTTTCGAGCGCCATGTTCTGTCAGGAATAAGCAATTTAACCGATTTTTTAACACGTTTTCTGTTATAATGTTGCTTATTCACGGTGGGTTTTCTTATAAAGTACAAAGGAAATTTCTTCAATTCAAAACAAACAGATATTGGATGGGATTCAAAA